CGGGAAATCCTAGCAGAGCAGGTTTCTTCCTGGCTGCAGACAGTGGCATGGCCGTGGGCGTCTGACTGGCCTGGTGGCTGGGTGATGACAGAGCAGCGGCGAGGAGAAAGCAGCTAGTTCCCCAGATGCGGCAGCAGAGGCAGGACGGGTGGGCTTGCGCTGGGGAATGCAATGAGCGGGGCTGCAGGATCCCTCAGGAACTTGAAGCTGCATTTTGGCCTTGGAAAGGGTTCAGAAAAGGACAACTAAAATGATGAGGGGTTTGGAACGGGTCCCATATGAGGAGAGGTTAAAGCGACTGGGACTTTTCAGTTTAGAAAAGAGGAGACTGAGGGGGGATATGATAGAGGTCTATAAAATCATGAGTGGTGTGGAGAGGGCCGATAAAGAAAAGTTATTTATTAGTTCCCTAAATAGAAGAACTAGAGGACACCAAATGAAATTAATGGGTAGCAGGTTTAAAACTAATAAGCGAAAGTTCTTCTTCACACAGCGTGTAGTCAACCTGTGGAACTCCTTGCCAGAGGAGGCTGTGAAGGCTAGGACTATGATAGAGTTTAAAGAGAAGCTAGATCATTTCATGGAGGTTAGGTCCATAAAAGGCTATTAGCTAGGGGATAGAAATGGTGTCCTTGGCCTTTGTTTGTCAGAGGCTGGAGAGGGATGGCAGGAGACAAATCACTTGATCATTGTCTTCGGTCCACCCTCTCTGGGGCACCTGTTGCTGGCCACTGTCGGCAGACAAGCTACTGGGCTAGATGGACCTTTGGTCTGACCCAGTACGGCCGTTCTTATGTTCTTATGCATTACACCGCACTGGGCGCCCCACCAGTGTACCTTGGCAGTATAGGGCATGTGACACAGCACAGAACAGTCTGATTCTACCCAGCAGAGGGCACACATCAGATCCTGGTGCCTCTAGGTCGCCCTGTCTCAAAAAGGTTATAGCGGAACTGGAGACGGCTCAGAGAAGGGCCACAGAAATTTCAAGGGTTTGGAACAGCTTCCGTACAAGGCTACTCCTAGAAGAGGCGGCTAAGGCAGGATCTGCTAGAGGTCTGTGAAATCACAGATGGTGTGGAGCCAGTGTATAGGGAAGTGCTGTTTATCCTTCCACTCAATGCAAAAACCAAGGGGCACCCAATGAAATGAATAGGCAGCAGGTTTCATACAAGAGGAAGTACTTTTTCACATGGGGCACGGTTACCCAGTGGAACTCCTTGCCAGGGGATGCTGTGAAGGCCAAAGCTATGACGGGGTTCAAAAAATAATTAGCTCAGTCCCTGGAGGACAGGCCCATCAGTGGCTATAAGACAAAGGGGCCAGGGATACAACCCCTTGCTCTGGGTGTCCCTAACTCTCTGACTGCCAGAAGCTGGGAGTGAGTGACCGGAGTGGATCATCCATGTTCAAGACACTGTCTGCCACTGAGGTACAGGGCCACTGTCAGAGACAGGAACCTGGGCCATATGGACCGTGGCCTGACCCAGTCTGGCAGTTCTGATGTCCATACTAGAGGTTCACCGGTTACTTGGCAAGCAGGCGTCTTGTCGGCCTGCTGATGCAATCCACGTGCCTGCTGGGTGTGGGGCACTGTCCCATGCCCAATCCACGTGCCTGCTGGGTGTGGGGCACTGTCCCATGCCCAATCCACGTGCCTGCTGGGTGTGGGGCACTGTCCCATGCCCAATCCACGTGCCTGCTGGGTGTGGGGCACTGTCCCATGCCCAATCCACGTGCCTGCTGGGTGTGGGGCACTGTCCCATGCCCAATCCACGTGCCTGCTGGGTGTGGGGCACTGTCCCATGCCCAATCCACGTGCCTGCTGGGTGTGGGGCACTGTCCCATGCCCAATCCACGTGCCTGCTGGGTGTGGGGCACTGTCCCATGCCCAATCCACGTGCCTGCTGGGTGTGGGGCACTGTCCCATGCCCAATCCACGTGCCTGCTGGGTGTGGGGCACTGTCCCATGCCCAATCCACGTGCCTGCTGGGTGTGGGGCACTGTCCCACGCCGTGGCGCTGAGCCCACGTACAGAGAGGGAGAGTGAGTTTGCTCCAGCCTGAGCTGAGAGCCAGCTGGCTTTGAGGTCAAGCACTAAGCTCCCGAGGTCCCAGGTTTGGTTCTGCCGGTCGGGGTTACAAGGTTTCCAGTGAACTGGCCTAACCAGCTGGATCCTGCCTCGGGCTGCTGCAGGCCCAGCCCAGAACAGCCCCATCCCCACCCCAGCTGTGGTGGGGCTGGGACCCCCCAGGGCTAGGACTGGAGCAGCCCCCCCGCTCCCTGGCTGGGGGGGAATGGGGCCGGAGCAGCCCATCCTGGTGGGGGTTGTTAAAGGGTTAAACCTCATGTTTAACTGATTAACATTTTAACCAGAGGCGGCCCCCAGCCTCTCGCCCTGTGGGCCTGGCTGGGGAAGGCTCCTTAGCCGTGGGGAATCCAGGGTGACCTGGGCTCTTCCCCTGGTTCCGCCACTGACTGCACAAGCCCCAGCCCCGCTTGGTGACTCAGTTTCCCCTCCTGTCACTTTGTTTGTCTTATCTACTTGGAATGTTCCTCTCCCATTCTTTTCTCTTGAAGAAGAATTCTTATGAGATTCTGGTGCATCTCTCATGTGATAAATATCTCAAGATTGCATAAGGCAAGCCCTAGAGAAGTGGTCTCCAAACTTTATAAGCATGAGATCACTTTTTAAATTTAAGTGCAATCTAAGATCTACCTCAGACCCAAATATCCTTGCCCCATCTAACTTGTGTGCCCCTTCTCCAAGGCCCCGCTCCTGCTCACTCCATCCTTCCCCTATCTTCTCTCACTTTCACCAGCCAGGGGCAGCAGGTTGGGATGCAGGCTCTGGTCTTGGATTAAAGGATTCTGAGTGTAGGATGGGCTCTGAGCTGAGCCTGGGGCAGACAATTGGGGTGCAGGAGGGGGTTCTAGGTGCAGGCTCTGGGAATATGGTTGCATGCAGGGGCACTGGGCAGGGCTTAGGGTGCAGAAGGGGGTTTGTGACCGGGGTAGGGTTTCAGGATGTGGGCTCCTGTAGGGCACTGCTTACCTGTGGTGGCTCCTGGGTGGGGGTGCAGGGGGCTAAGGCAGGCTCCCCCCTGCCCTGGTCCTGCACCACTCCCAAAAGCAGCCAGCAAACTCCATCCCAAGCCCTGCTGTGCCCCCTCTCTGCTCTGTGGAGATAGGATACAGGGTGGGAGAGGGGCACCTTGACATCAGCACCCTCCTCTCCCTCCTCTCCCCTGCCCAGCAAGCAGGAGGCTCCTGAGGGGGCAGGTCCAAGGCAGAGGGCAGGAGACACACAGCAGTGGTGGGAAGTGCCGGCACTTGATGGCCTCTTGGCCAAACCAGTCGGGATGCCCTATCAGAGGCTCCAAGATCAACCAGGAGATCCCGATCGACCGGTTGGTGACCCCTGCTGTAGACTGTGCACTGCGTGGGTTAGGGATTCTCTCGCTGTGTGTGTGCATTTACAGCGCCTAGCACAGTGGGCCTCTGATGTCAGGTGCTGCTCCTGCATCCCAACAGTCACACGCCCATGGTACATCCCCGCAGCAGCAAGAATCTTCCTGCTCCAACAGCACCTGATCCATGAGAGACTCCCCTTTAGTTGCTGGCCGTATGGGGCTAATGACACACAGCTGAGCCATTGGAGTCCAGCTAGCAGAGAGCAGTGCTCCACATACACATTAGTTTGCTCCAGCGTCGCCCTGGTCCTGCTCTTTGAGCTCCGGAAAATGCCCCCGGCTCTGCGTCAGGGATGGCTGCATTCAGGGCCCAAGCCCGGCTTTTCACAGCACTGCTGCCAGCCGCATGACGCTGGGGTTTGAATTGTATCGGGGTGGGAAAATCCCCTGCCCAGCCACCCAGGGACGTTCCAACATGGCAGCAGGTCCCTCCCCAGCGTGCTATCAAACCTCCCAGGCCCCCCATGGTCCAGCTGGTTTTCTGCATATTAACGCCAGGGCCGGCACTGGGGGGGAGTGAGCCGGGGCTGAAGGTTCTGTGCGGTGGGACTTCAACTTGCGGCCGAGGCCCTTGCAAATCTAACACTGGCCCTGCTCAGCTGCCCCCCCAAAAGCAGGGTGCCTCGGATCCCTGGTTGAGAACCCTGGACTGGAGCTCGGTGCGGTGGCTGGGCGCTTGGAGCTGCAGCCCGATTCCCGTTGCATATCTTGGCCAGAATTGTGCCGCTGGGTTCAATCCACGTGGCAGCCCCATTGCACTGGGAAGATGGTCTTCTGGCTACTGCACGGGGTGGGAGCCAGGGCGCCGGGCACTGGCCCCATGCAGGCTCCAGTCCTGTACATGAACTTGGCCAAGGCCCCCCTGTATTCATTAGTGTTCCTGCCCTCCCCCTCAGGCTGTAACCAAGATCTAGGGTTGCCAGAGAGTTTCACAAAAAATACGGAACATGGCAGTTGAGGAAAACAACAAACAAAAACAGGGACCAGAGTTGTTGAGAAAAAAAAATGCACACACAAAAAAAAGAGTCACTGCACCTTTAAATCCCCCCCTGCTCTTCCCGCCCCCACCAGACATGGCAGGGGAAGATTGTCCCAAGCAGCCTTCCGTCCGATAAAAACAGAATTTTGTTCCTGCTTTTTTTTTTTTTACTGAACAGAAGACGCAATTACCAGAGTGTCCAGGCCAATACCGGACACCTGGCAACCCTACCAAGATCAGAGATGCAGTCCTGGGCCTGCACGGACCTCCCTCCCCCGCATATCTTAGAGCCCCTGCAATCAAGGGCTGGGCAGAGGTAGTCTGATCCCCTTGGCTAAGACAGGGGAAGCGATTAAGGCGTAAAGTTATTTAGGCACCTTGAGGTCCATGGGAGTTAGGCACCTACATACCTTGAAAGATCAGGGATTAAGGGGCTGGCCAAGGGCCGCACAGGGAGTCAGTGACAGAGCAGGGAATTGGAGCCCGGCACGTGAGCTGTCCATCCCACTCTGCGTAGTCTAACGCCTCTTCCTTCTGGCTGGCCGCAGGTTCCAGAAGCACGTCCACACCTACCGGATCCTGCCAGACGAGGACGACTTCCTGGCTGTGCAGGTAGGGACCGCCCCCCCTCCTCTCCCCAGCCACGCAGGCGAGTGCTGTGAGCCGCGCCGGGCCTGTGACCACTTGTCACTGCAGCCAGCGACCTATGAAGGATAAAAGCCCTACTAGTGGTGCTGGTCAAATCTTCTTGAGCTCAAGCCAGAGGCCTCCGCTGCACAGTGGGCTGCCAGAGGTGGCGAGTGCGAATGTGTCTGTGTCTCTCCTGTCTGGCTCTCCCCAGCCACGCAGGCGAGTGCTGTGAGCCGCGCCGGGCCTGTGACCACTTGTCACTGCAGCCAGCGACCTATGAAGGATAAAAGCCCTACTAGTGGTGCTGGTCAAATCTTCTTGAGCTCAAGCCAGAGGCCTCCGCTGCACAGTGGGCTGCCAGAGGTGGCGAGTGCGAATGTGTCTGTGTCTCTCCTGTCTGGCCCACCCCTCCTGCCCCCAGCCAGTCAGCGGTCTCCACAAACCCAGTGGTGTCTGGTGGCTGAGACCTCACACGCTGGAGGTGCGTCTGCTCTGCATAGGAGTTGCAGGTCCCACTTTGCCCTGCTGCCCATGCTGCCTGCCCCAGAGGTGGCTGCATTTCTGGGTAGCTCTCGGGGAGGGAGGTGGGCGACAGGCTCTCCGGGCCATAGGTGTGGTTAGCAGTTGTGCTCCCCAGTCTGAGCGCCTGCAGGGCCTCATCGTCTTGCCCACCGTGGTGTGTGTGCCACGCCCAGGGCGTTGAATGGCCTTCCTCAGACACGACAGCCCTCATCACCCACATGTGGCCATGCGGGGCCTGGCACTCCAGACACATGGCCCCCAGCGAGTGCCGTGCCAGCTGCAGCCCCCGACGACCCACTGGGCACTGCCATGCCAACCACTGTGCCGGGCGGTTCATGGAGGGTAGGTCCATCATGGCTATCAGCCAAGTTGGTCAGGGGCTTAACCCTGAGCTCTGGGTCTCCTGAAATATGCACCTGCCTTAAGCTAGGACCTGACAACGGGGAGACTCCCTTGGCTTGTGCCCTGTTTTCTTCATTCCCTCTGAAGCACCTGGCCCGGTCACAAGAGCTACACGGACCATTGGTCTGACCCGGTCTGATGGTTCTTAGTGCACAGCGGTACACGCCCACTGCAGGGCGCTGCATGTCACACAAACTGAGTAGAGAGTGCGCAACAGGGCACTCCATACACAGTGCACACAGTGCGCAACAGGGCACTCCGTACACAGTGCACACAGCGCGCAACAGAGCACTCCGTACACAGTGCACACGTCACACATTACACAGCGGAGCACTCCATACACAATACACACATCACACAGTACACAGTGGGGCTCTCTGTACACAATACACACAGCGCACAACGGGGCACCCCATGCACAATACACACATCACACAGTACACAACGGGGCACTCCATGGAGAATACGCACATCACACAGTACAGTATAGGGCACTCCGTACACAATACACACAGTGCACAACAGGGCACACCCATCCCTGTACTATAAGTTTACTCTGTGAAGCGTCTTCCCAAACCCTTCCCCTGGGCCGAGCCGACGGTGTGGACCATCCAGCGGCCATGGGGGGAGAGATGATTAGGCAGTGCAGGGGAAGCGGTGTGTGTTCACAGTGTGCTGGACTGTCTCTCATTAGCTAACGGGCATGGAAGCCCCTGTCTGAGCTCAGTCCCTGCCCCCCAGAGCTCCCTGTCTTAGGGCTGGCCTCTTGGGGAATTTTACGGGCAAACTTGCGGTGCTAGTGTCCTGCCTCTGAGACATTCCTGGCTGTGGGAGCATCCACATGAAGGGATGCAGGTGTCAAACGGTGCTGGAGAAGTTCCCTGGGTAGATGAGCCCTCGGCAGGCGGCCGGGGAAACTGAGGCACAGAGTGGGGCTGTGAAGGAGCTGGCTATGTGGAGGATGAGGGTTTCACACGGCCAAGGCCTTAGCTGAGCCGAGTGGGAAGGGGAGAACAGAGCGATGCTGCCCCCTGGGTGCCCAGCACACCCCAGCTGGGCCTCGGACTGGCCTCCCTCCCTCGGTGAAAGAGCCCTGCCCACGGGATCCCCTGTCGAGGTGCACAGCTGGGCGCAGAGCTAGCTGGAGCGCAGGGTTTGGGACTGCCAGGGCTCTTAGCTCCCCTTGACCTCCCTTTTCTCAGCATGTGCAGGCTCCCCCCGCCTTTCGCCTGGATGGACTTAGGGCTCTGTCTGCTCTGGGGTCCCCCCTCCAACACAGGAGAAGGTCGGCCCCAGAGGGATGCCCTTGGGTACAGGGTGCGGGGTCCGTGTCGAGGTGCCTGTGTTCCCGGGCCCTGGCTGAGAGCGGGGGCAGTGGAAATGCAGGCCGCGTGCCCCGGGCTTTCCAGGGCTTTGCAGCGTGTCCGGCCGGCGCAGACGCTGCTGCGGTCCGTGCACCGAAGTATTTATAGCCCTACAGTAGCCCCTTTGTGCTGTCCTGCAGACAGGAAAGAACAGGCCCCGGGGAGGCCCGGCCACAGAAAGGAGGGCGTTGTGTGTGCGCCAGCTCCCGTGCCAGCCTTGCCCTCCGGATTGCGGAGTCAGCCTCCCCCGCGCTCGCCCCAGAGTGACAGCTGCAGAATCCTAACCCCGCCCAGTCTCACCCACCAGGCCCAGCGCTGGGCTGAGATCAGGCAGGGCCTCAGATTGGTGCGCCAGGCATGCTTCTCCCAGAATGCTCAGCCGGGCAGATCTCTACTGGGCACCCGCACTTGCCAGCCCAGGGCCCAGTGGGTGCTGTGTCCACGATGGCTAGTGAGCAGGCACTGGAGAGGAATGCCCGCCGTTTGGACCAGTCACCTGGGACAGCTCATGCCAGTGCCCGCTGTCCGTGCCACCCAGCGCTGCGGGACACGCTGCCCGGTGTCTCAGCCCAGAGGAGAGCAGCGTTTTTCAGACGACGCTTCTGTCCAGCTGAAAAATGCAGGATTTGGTGGCACCCAACCATGTCGTGAATTAGCAGGCACTGGAGAGGAATGCCCGCCGTTTGGACCAGTCACCTGGGACAGCTCATGCCAGTGCCCGCTGTCCGTGCCACCCAGCGCTGCGGGACACGCTGCCCGGTGTCTCAGCCCAGAGGAGAGCAGCGTTTTTCAGACGACGCTTCTGTCCAGCTGAAAAATGCAGGATTTGGTGGCACCCAACCATGTCGTGAATTGAGGCTGGTTTTGCCCAGTTCTCTTGCCCCCCCCCCCCCCCGGAAACGATCCACACAGTTGGATGGTTTGGCTTGGAACGCCTTTTCCTGGGATGGCATTTTTCGAAAATCCCTGGCACTACAAGAGGGGCGCAGTCAAAAGGCAGCCTCTGGCTTTGGTTGGCGCGGGAGGCCCGGAAACAGGCATTTTCCTCGCTTTTCACGTCGCCACAAACTTTCCTTTCTGTTGGGACCCGAAACTCAGGGGCTACGTCTACACTGGCATGATTTTCCGGAAATGCTTAAAACGGAACAGTTTTCCGTTATACGTATTTCCGGAAAAAGAGCATCTACATTGGCAGGATGCTTTTCCGGAAAAGCCCTTTTTCCGGAAAAGCGTCCGTGGCCAATGTAGACGCGCTTTTCTGGAAAAAAGCCCCGATGGCCATTTTCCCGATAGGGGCTTTTTTGCGGAAAAGACTACTGTGCTGTCTACACTGGCCCTTTTCCGGAACAGTTTTCTGGAAAAAGGACTTTTGCCCAAGTGGGAGCAGCATAATTTTTCCGGAAAAGCAGCTGATTTCTTACAGTAGATCGTCAGTGCTTTTCCAGAAATTCAAGGGGCCAGTGTAGTCAGTTCGCAGCTTATTCCGGAAAAGCGGCTGATTTTCCGGAATAAGTGGCCCAGTGTAGACACAGCTAGGGGGTTTTCAACTTTTCGAATTTGCCACTGGCGTGATCCAACTATTGTTTAGGTGGCTGTCGTGGTGACACCGCTCCCTTGCAGGGTGGGCTAGCCGCGTTTTGCGGTCACACGTCCGTTCTCAGTGGATGAAAGCCAGACGCGCATGAATAAGGTCGTGCGATGGCAGCGTCTCCTGCCTTGCCAAGGCCATGGTGCGGCTCAGCCTTTAACTCGAGAATCCTCACGATGTGCTCAGGACCATAGCTGGGGAAACCGAGGCACAGAAAAGCAGAGTGACTTGGGATGCTACTGAGAGCAGTGTCAGAGCCGGGGTGAAACTCCAGGAATGCTTAGCTCATAATGCGGTGCGCCGTGTCTCCCAATCCCTAGCTCAGCGGCACAAAATGTGGTCCCTCCTCCTTCTGAAGGAGTCAGCCAATCCCCACTCGTGGCGCAGGGAAAATACACCCGGAACAGCCCCAAAAGTGGCTTTTTCAGCCGCCCGCCGCACCGGGATCCCCAGTTCCTGTCTGGTTGCCTTGTCTTGACAGGTGCCCGAGGGCTGTTCTGGGCGTGGTTTAGTGGTTAGAACACAAGGTGCCTGTGGCCCAGACTGGCAGGGAAACTGGCCAGCCAGAGCAGGGGTCCGTTTGCTGGCAGCAAAGGGCTTTGAGAGGATGTTTGATCCTGCTGGTCTTTGTCCTGTGGGCTCTGTTCTCAGGGCCCCGCTGCCCTCGCCAGTAAGAGGGGCTCAGGGCTTTCCCCAGCTGCCCCTGAGACGGGATTTCTGGCTGGGAGAAGGGACGGCGGGAGGAACACTGGGCCCTCGGCTCCTAGCGGGGGACATAGTTTGCTGGCAGCAAAGGGCTTTGAGAGGATGTTTGATCCTGCTGGTCTTTGTCCTGTGGGCTCTGTTCTCAGGGCCCCGCTGCCCTCGCCAGTAAGAGGGGCTCAGGGCTTTCCCCAGCTGCCCCTGAGACGGGATTTCTGGCTGGGAGAAGGGACGGCGGGAGGAACACTGGGCCCTCGGCTCCTAGCGGGGGACATAGGGCTGTGGAGACGCTTCCACAAAAATACCTCCCTGCCAGGCAGGCTGCGCAACCGTGGGGGG